GGCGAAGTGGGCCTTAAGGAAGAGGAGGACTATGAGGGAAGGCGTTTTCAAGGAAAGGAAGGAGGCAGAGAAAGGCATTTCTTACACGTTCTTTCAAGCAGCTCAGTCAATATGAGGCAGGAAAAGTTTGATCTAGAAAAATACACGTCAGACTTTTTCTGCCTCGTACTTGATGAACTGATTAAAGCTATGTAGCGTTTGGGGGAGTAGGTGGAAATGAAGAGAGGGTGATTTTTTTACTTTTATTTGATAGACTTTTATGTTTGATTTTTTTTAGCATGAAGAATGTAGTCATTATACTTGTATTTTTTAAAAATTAAACTAGCTACTGCAAGAAATGTAATTGTTTACCAATTGGAGGTGAAGCTCAGGATTGCCAAGCTTCACAGAGGGAGTGGTAAATATTAATCACACTCAGTAAATGTTTATGGAATTTGTTGAAATTATAATCCTAAACTGTAGAGGAGGCAATTGGTTTCATTTCTCAGCTTTCTGCAGCAGAACAGAGCAGAAAATTCTGACAGTGTGGTTTATTCAAGAGCTTACAGATTGACAAGGCAAGAATGACAAAGGTTATTATTAGTCGAGAACCATATGACTTCACTCATATGTGGGATGTAAAACTGAAAACAACAAAGGAACAAGAAAAACAAATAAACAAAAACTCATAGACACACACAATAGTTTAGTGGTTCCCAGAGGGTAAGGGGAGAGGGAGGTGGTAGATGAGGGTAAAAGGGATCAAATATATGGTGATGGAAAGAGATTTGACTTTGGGTGGTGAATACAACGTGATATATAGATGATGTATTATAAAAATGTACACTTGAAACCTATGTAATTTTACTAGCCATTGTCACCCCCAGTAAATTTTAATTTTAAAAAAAGGAGTGAGAGAATTAAGTGTGCTAGTAGGAGTTTTTTAAATGACTAACTGTATTCTCCAAAATGAGTAGTGAAGCAACTAAGTTCAAAAGATAGGCCGGTGGACTTTGAAAATAGGGCAAAGACTAGGAAAAAGGAGTTGTAATGAGAACAAAGGGCAAATTCAATGGGGAAAAATGTAAGGATAGAAAATTGTACACAGAAAAAGTAGTTCAGAGTTCAGAGTGTTAGAAGTGGAGCAATTCCAAGTGCTTCCTTACCAAGCCCCAAAGCCTGGTCATGCCTGGAGATAACTAAAGCAGAGTGCAGGGGTCATCACTGCTCACCAAGTGGACAGCGATGTCGCAGAAGTAGAAGGGCCAGGTCTCATTTCAATACAGTAAACCCATTGCGCATTCAGTTAATGTTTGTTGAATGGAAGGAGAGGGGCGGGGAGGGGAGGGGAGGGGAGGACAGGGAGTTATAGCACTTACCACAGTTATTTGTTTTCCTGTCTTCCTCCCCTACTGGACCATAAGCTCCTTGGGTCGTACTTCTTTCTGTATGTCTAGTGCCTAGCATAGCGAAGAGTAGGTGTTTGAATCAAGATTTGAGAGAGTGAATGGATATTGAACTGCACAGAATGATGACAGGGAAAGGGAGAGGCAGAAAAATTGTGAACCAGGAGCTAAAATCCTCAAGGGAAGCAAAAGAGTCCATTGCAGGTATATAGATAGGAACTTTGATGATATTTGAGTAGCATAAGCAAATGACATTGACCTCAAAAGAGGAGAGACTGATGGGGGAAAGGATATTGGATCTGGAAGTAGCAATGGGAAAAGGAATCTTCCAATTTGTCTTTCCGTCTGCTGTGAATCCAGGAGGAGTGGGCACAGTGTGCTTCTCCTCCGACACCTGCCCTACCCAGTCTGTCACCTAGCCCTCTTCCTGTTGTTTTTGTGCCTCGAATGCTTCAATATCCTTTCTGCGAATCCCTCTGTCTCCACACTGTCTCCCTTTGGCCTTACATGCAACGGCAAAAATCAGAGTTCCTAAAAGGACTGCTTTTCAGCATCATTAGTGCTTATACTTTGCCAGTGGCTACCCTTTGTCCGCCATGTAGCCCTCTGTGAACTGTCCTCACTTCCAGTGGCTTTGACGTTTGTACTGAGTGCAAAATACCTTCTTTTTTCAAAGCTTCTTTTTTTTTTAAAGATTTTTGGGGAATTAGGGGATGGGAACAGCGCTGGGGAATTGGGGAAGGGGAACAGACAAGCTGCTGTCTTTTTTTTCTCAGTCTAGTTGTGGAGGATGTTGCTTCACTGCCCCAAGCTGGCACCATCATTGCGCTCTTCCCGGGCGAGGCACATCAGTCGCCAGCTTCTGGACGGCTGCTCACAGTGGCTGCTGGCTGCTCACGCTGGCTGCTGGCTACACACGGTAGCCCATGGCAACCCACTGCCACAGGAGCTGCAGCCTACGCCGTCGCTGGCGACCCATGGCAGCCCAGCTCCAGGTTGAGCTGTTGTTCAGCATCTTAGCTGTGGAGGGCAGTGTCACTGGCCCTCATATGTGGGATCCAAACCGGGGCCTTCTGGCGTCCCAAGCCAACTCTTAACCATCGTGCCACTCGGCCGGCCCTCAAAGCTTCTAATTATCCTTTTCTCTACCCATCTAGAGCCCTCTACATCAGAACTCCCTGAGGACTCGTTTTCCCTTCCTGGCCATCATTAAAATAACTATCCCAGAAACACCTTCCTTCCTTCCTTTATCCTTAATTGTCTCCCGGTACCAAACACCCATGAATGTTACGTGTGTGTCCTATACTTTTGTGTCAATACTTGTTGCCCTATCAGTTGTACCATAGAAATATCTCCTAAATCCACGCTGCCACCAGCCTGGATTGTTTTTCATTTTAGCCATTTTGATAGGTGGCTCCTTGTAATTTTTTCATCTTTTAAGACCTAAGTCAAGAGTTACCCCTGCAGAGCCTTTTCTAACATTCTCTGGAAACGTTAATTACGCTCATGGGTGAGAAAGGTGAAGGGATGAGGAAGTACAAAATAGTCACAGGGATGTGAAATGCAGTGTGGGGAATATAATCAATAGTGTTACAATAACTATGTGTAGTGCCAGGTGAGTACTAGACTTATCAGGGGGATCACTTCATACATTATAGAAATGTCTAACCACTACAGTGTACTCCTGAAACTAATATAAGATAATATTGACTATCAGCTATAATTTAAAATATATATATATATATATACATATACATACATATATATATATATATGTATATGTATATATAGTCTTGGAATGTAACATACAGCATAGGGAAGATAGTCAGTGGTATTGTAATAACTATGTACAGTGTCAGATGGGTGGTAGACTTGATGGGGCGATCACTTTGTGAAGGGTGTAAATGTCTAATCGCTAGGTTGTTTTGTACACCTGAAATCTAAAAAGAGTTGATTACTCTGTCCTCTGTGCCATCTCTGATGCTTCATTCATCATTGTATTTTAATTATTTACTGACATAGTCTGAACCACATGAAGATAATAGCTGTGCCATATTCATCTTTGTTCCTGCAACATCTGGTCCAGTTATATGCTGGACACACAGGGCACTCAGCTAATGCGTGCGAAGCGAGGGAAAGAATGCAGGAGAAACGATCATCTTCCTTGCCTCCCTCTCGTCCCCATTCAGCTATAAACCTTTTTAGAACAGAGATCATTCTTCCTCTTTGTCTCCAGGCAGCAGCTCAGGGTGCTCTGTACGCATAGATGCTCAATAAATGTGGGCTACTATTCAGGTGGCTTATCGTCCCCCTGCACCCAGGAGATAAGCACATGAAAGAGAGAATAGGTCTGAGGATTCCTGTATTGAGGGTCATATGTCGTCCGTTTTATAATATTCGCGTAATCTCCACAATCACTCAATATTTGTCTGCGTAGATAAGGAATCAAAACAAAACAGTTTTTTGAGTGAAAGGATGCCTCTGCAGCTGAATGCTTTTCAGTAGTTCCAATGCCCTGGTTACATGTGAATTTGGGAGATTGGCATTTTATGTCCCGAATTCTTTTTGCAGTTTCAGAAGGATCTGGGATTTTTCTGCTTTTGCTGCACTGGTATAATTTGACATGTTGATTATGAAGGGGTTATTAACCCCAGCGTTTTTAATCACATTTTTACTCTGCATTTTCTCAACTGTGAAGTATGTTAATTTGCACTTGTTTATATGTCTCTGGGAGAGTTACTCAGGCCCTTGAGGACTGGTGTGTTTTGTCTGGGAACTAGATTGTAAGCCCCTTGAGAGCAGGGACCTTATAACTCCTAGGAATGCGTTCTGGACCTTGTCAGTGTTCAATTAATGATAACACTGGAAGCCTGACTAAGGTCATCTGTCACATCGACAACTTCCTTTTCATTTATGAGGCTTCTAACTTGGAAAAAGCTGTTAGGTTGACTTGATAGCATTCAATGATTCTACCCCGAATTATGCTCATTATTACCCACTACAGTTTGTTCTTTAGAGTGCTTCCAGAGTTATAAGTTTGGATCTGTTGTTGCCGTTCCCTTCCCTATAACAGTCTGGTTACCTAAGAATTGGGGGAGAGCGGCTGCATTTCACAACCCAGAAGTCCTTTAGCGTAATAAAACTAAGCTGATAACATTTATGCTTTCAAAGCATTGATAACCAGGTGATAAAGTATGTTGACAGTCTTAAATGAGCAGAAATCATCCTTAATAACTATTCAATGTATATGTCTTATTTTCCCAGATTGTAAGCTGGAGTAAATGTGCACACTATCCCCTATGGCTATTGAAGTTAAATTAGTATGAGTATTTCAAGGAGGTCTTGGTTCTAAAACAGAGGGACATATTCGGTCCTTGCTGAAGGTGGAGGTGGAGAGAATTTTTTTGCAAGTCAGTTTACTGAGGTGTCATTTACATGTACAGTCTGATTCACTCTTTTTAGGTGGAAAATTTGATGAGTTTGACAAGTTGGGTTTCCCTCCCCCCCTTCGCCATTTGCTGATTCAGCTATATACCTCCAGCTGGCTGCACCACCATTGCCACCCCTAAAGCAAGCTGATCTTTTGACATTTTGTTTTCTTTCTCTTTTCTACAGTGTACTGAAGGAGGTATACATAGCCTTTAATCCCAAAGCAGTGGTCTTACAGCTGGGAGCCGATACAGTAGCTGGGGACCCCATGTGCTCCTTTAACATGACTCCAGTGGGAATTGGCAAGTGTCTTAAGTACATCCTGCAGTGGCAATTGGCAACACTCATTTTGGGAGGAGGTGAGTACAAAGGAAGGTCACCAGGAGAATTTGCTGACCTTCTTCCATGTTTTGTTAATTGACACAGGAAAACTTGACTTCCTTAGATTAGATAATATCAACCTGCCTGTGGTCCAGAAGCCTGAGTCAGTGAACTCTGCCATCTTCAAGTTCAACATAAGGAAGCACCCTGACACACACCTCCTGCTCAGTTTAGCATGTGCATTTACTCCTTGGCATTCTGAAATGAAAATTTCAATTCCTAAGGAAAGGCCTTTGGGTTAAAGGTGACATCAGATCTTATTTAGAATAGATGATGTTAACTCCAGTCGACTTTGGCCCATCTTCTCTCTGTGTAGTCTTTGATTCTCAGTTCTAGTAATCATCTTTTGGAAACATACCACTAAAATTCTAACCCTACTCAAACATGAATTAATGAAACCTAAGCTGAATTTAGGAATGACTCTCCCCCGACCCCCAAAAAAGCATGGCTTCGTTACAATAATGTAAAATCGAGAGATCTAAGGAGTCAATTGGACATTCTTGCCTTCAGTGTGTACTTAACCAACAGACAGCTGAGTCTGTTCAATAGAAGGAACCTTTCACACCCTCAGCTGCCTTTAAAGATGCTTAGAACCTTCTGTCTATCTATCTGGCACAGTCTTTTTTTTACTGGATGAGTGGATTGATGTGCTAAAATAACATGACCAAGTAGACTGAGCTGGAAATATATGTATTATACAACAGCTACTAGTTTGTTTTGTCAACCAGTTGTAAAAACCAAAATTAGAAGAGATTGTGGGAGGGCCTTATAAAAATGTGTGTGCACTCAATACAATTGGAGGAACTCTAGCCTGGTTCCAGGGGGCTCAAAATTGAAAGTGCTTACACGAAACAGCCTCTTACGAAATGCTGGAAGGAAATGTATTAACTTACACTCAGAGCAAAGATAAAATTGATAAGTACTGTGTGACATATTACTTTTCTTGACAGCATTAAGGATAGTGATTATGATACAGGTACAGTTAGGGAAGAAGAAAAAAGGCCCTTTCCACAACATACATCTGTGCAAATTGGACTTTTGTTTGAGGACAGCCTTTACTTAGCCTTTCAAAGCCTCTTTGCTTTCTCAGCCCAAACTTTTGTCTTTTGCAAATCAAATCATATTGTATGGACACCAGAGAGAGCTTGTTACTTAAAACCTATACTGACTCCTTTTTGAAATCAAATAATCACTCCCAATAAGTCAATCTTAAAAATTCAGATTTTTCACATCAGGGGTGCTTAAAGTAATGCCTGTACTATTTCACTTAAATTCTCAACCCCCAGTAACACATGGGCAATTAGTGGAGATGGCCACGGCCCCAGGCTTCAGTGGACCTTACTGAGGCCTAAAAGACACATTCCAGAAGGCCCAGCACCCTTGACCTTTCAAGGAGTAGAAAGGCTTAAGAAAAGGGTGATCATATGTCCCGATTTATACATGTGATCCCAGTGTAATTATTAATAGTATCCCATTTTACTCTTAAAAGTGTACCATTTTGGTAAATCATATGGTCACCCTACCTAAAATAGACCAGACTCTATTTCCCTCAGGCTTCTTGGAGGTTAGGAAACCATTCAATTTTATCCTTACACTCTTGGAATTTAGCTAATGGCCAGTGTTCTAATGCTTGCATGGCAGAACATGTCTATTCACAACAAAAATATTGCTGATTATTAGCCAGCATAATATGGCTTCTGGGTGACTGTGACAGGGCCTGACGAGATGCGTCAGAGTGTCAGTCAACAGTTCCTTCCTCATCTCATTGTCTTTGATCTCTGCTACTGGGCCTGCGTTTTATGGAGGAAAGGCATGCTGATATTAAAAGAAGAAAGTCTTTTTCTGTTAGCATTTTCCTTTTCTCTTTCCTGGATGTATCCAGGACTGTATCTGCCAATAGCATTAACACAAAAATCATATCCAGAAGTCATTGTGTAGAATTGTTGCAAAATGCGCTGCACAGACCTTCACATTGGGTAGGTCATCTCAAGAGATCTGGGCTCCAGGTATCTCATCAGTCTTGCCGATGACTTGATGGTATTGAGGAGCCTGGAGCCCTCAGGTACATAGATGAGGACCTTTTAAATCTTTGTGGGCCCTGAACTTGCCGGTTCCACACTGTGCATGGTCTGACCGGTTCACTGAAGTCTGCCTACTAGGTGGTGTAAAAATATCATTGTGGGATGTTTGGGTGAAATCTGCAAGTTAGACTTGTCTCTGTGGCCCTTTTATTAAAACATTCTTCTCTCCTTCCTTACCCCCTTCCCTCTCCTGCTGTTTTGTGACTGTTCTTTCCTAACTTCCAATTCTTGATGGAGACAGGAGGCTATAACCTTGCCAACACGGCTCGATGCTGGACATACTTGACCGGGGTCATCCTGGGGAAAACACTATCCTCTGAGATCCCAGATCATGAGGTAAGTAAGGCTCTGACAAGTCCTCTCTTCTTTAAGGGGAAGAGCTGAGTCATTCCACCTAATCAAAATCACGTCCTCGCCACTCAATACCGTTTTGTTGAGAGACACTCCAATAACAATAACACACTGTGTTGGCAGAATAGTGGACTCTTGTTCCAAAATATCCAAGACCTCTGCCTTTTTTACAAGAGATCTCAAAGGCCAACCAACTTTAATTTCTCAATTAATTACAGAGACTGTGGGAAGGGGTCACCTGTTCGCACAAAGAACTCTTTGGAATATGTACATATTTTCATCCCCTAGCCTCAAAAAACAAGGGGCTGTTTTCTAAGTGTATAAGCTGGGTTCTTGGCTATCTTTCAAAGGTCCCATAGGCAGTGTGGTGCACCTATGTTCTTTGGTGGTAGTCCTGGTCTGTATGTTTTCTTTGACTAATGTAAAATGTAAGAAACACACAATCACCACAAAGACAGGTCTTGTGTTTTCCCAACTATTAGTGGCACACAGAGGTTTGGGTAGGACCATCCATAACACAAAAGATGTCGTTTGAACCCTTGCCATTTTCTTTAATCATGTGAGATGCGCTTTATGTTTTCCACAGCAAAGATGTCTGTTCTAGTTTTCCCAAAACAGGTTCATAGAAAGCTGGCTGGCATCTGGGAGTGTGCTGGTAATCCCTTACCTGAAGGTGTCCCCCCTTCCCTTCCCACCACCCCACACCTGGCAGGAAGCGTGTTATCACAGATCAGGATGTGTAGCTACAGGCCCTAGATGGTGTGACTTAAAATAATGAGCCAATGCCTGCCTCCCAACTTTCTCAGCTATTTCCCGAGGAGTAGATATAGTACTTTCATTATAACATTTTGATTCCTGCCAGATGCGGAAGCTGTACACTTGGGAACACTATGCTTTTGAAAGTTACTATTATTTTTTAAAAATTAGAAACAACTTAAACTAATTTCCTTCCAATTTTCTTCTAACCATGGATGAGGTATAATGTCTATCTCAGAAAAACCACTCGTGGTGTCTAGAATACAAAGAGAAGTCAAACTATAATTTGAGACAATTTGCTGGTGTCAGGGTTAATTGAAGTCTCTTTTCTTGACTTGACTTACCTTTATTCAGTATTTGGAAGCTTTAGGAAATATAAAGGTAAGCGAACAAATTACATTTGTGAACAAATGTAGTCGCTGTTATTGCTGTGGGAATATCTCAGACTGCATTGTGATTTAAAGAACTGAGACTTTAAAAACTGATCAAGTTATGTCAAAAAGGAGTTGAAGCTATAGAATCCATAGATTCATCTGTCTTAAAAGGCTGACAAAATTTTAATAAAGATGACTATTGCTTCTGGTACCTGGAGAAGCTGTGTGCCTCAATGGGCATGGCCTTGGCCTTAGAAGAGAGACGTGTCCTGTCTCTATACTGGCATATTCTGCCAGCTTAAATGAGATATAATGTATATCAAGTAACTAACACACACTTCTTGGCACATATAGGCACTTTTGAAATGTAAATTTTCTCCTTCCACTTTGCATGCTCCTAACAATTTCTTATACCTGACATTTATGACTTTGTCATTGATAAATTTGTCCAAACCCTTTTTGAATCCCTTCTGTCATATCCTTCTGGTATTAGAGATGTGAGTCATCCAAGAAGGAACAAAGAAGAAAATTGAAATGACAGTCTTCCAGGTACAATAATATAATACTGTAATGAAAATTGTCAAAAATAGACTACACGGTGTGACGGCATATATAAGTTTCAGGCCACAATACACAGTTGCACACAAATATGCTTCTGGACCTCTGTAATCAGATCAACAAATGGTAGATCAAAAAATATTTACTGAGCACCCATTGTGTGCCAGGCACTATGCTAGATATCTTGGAAGATGCAAAGACACCAAGACCTCATCCCCTACCTCAAGCAGCCAGGAAGGAGGATGTTGTAAGTGCTGGGGGATATGTAGATACACAGATGATTATATTAGAGAGCAGAATAATAACCACAGGACAGTGGGGACAATGGCGGTGCGGATGTGCATTAAATAGAAACAGGATACACAGGGGTGTGCAAAGCACCCTGCCCTCCGGGACCTGAAAATATAATTGAAAATCTAGTTGGTGACAAGGTCAAGACAGCGCAGCAGGCAGCCTCAGCCTGGCCGACCCCCTCACTGTCTTCACTCTCAGTCCTGGGCTTTTGTTCTTCCCGTCTTCTGTGATGATAATGCTCCTCCTCTCCAGATGCCTTCCCCCCCCCCACCTCCTGCTGTCTTCCTAGGTCCCCGCTTCCAGCCCTATGCCTTTAAACATCCTTTACCTGAATACATCCAAGCCCTTTCAGCTCTCCCTTTGCATTCATTGGTTCATTCATTTAACAAATATTCATTGGGCCCCTACTACTTGTCAGGCCCTATTCAGACCTGGATTCAGAGATACAAAGATTAACCAGATAAACCCAGTGCCCTCAAAACTCTCATCGTCTAATAAAGGCAACAGAATAACGTGCTCAAATCCAGGAGAGTTGAGGAGCATAGAGGAAATGCCTCATCAAGACTTTGAACTGAGTCTTGGAGGTTGGTTGGGGGCTTGCCAGGTGAAGAAGTGGGAAAAGCATTTTAGGCAAAGCAAACAGAGGTTGGAAAGGACCTGGTGCTTCATGGGACTGGAGAGAAGTTGGATATAGAACATAGGGTTTATGAGAGAGAATGGGAAGGATTAAGGCTTGAATGGAAATTGGAGCCAGATTATGAAGACACTTGCATGCTACACTAAAGAGCTTACACTTTCTTTTTCTGTGAAAACAGATGAGCATTGATTTTTAGAAAGCTCATTTGATAGAGCATGGGAGATAGATGGCAGAAGGGAGGCACTTGAGAAAAGCCAACCTGTTAAGAGGTTCAAGTGCACTCCTATAGCACTTGTAGTCTGTACCATGCCTCTGGTCAGCTGTGTTTTGGTTGTCTGCATCTTCCTCAATGCTTAGCAGTCCTACCCCACCACCTAGTTGCTGTTCACTCATTGAAAGAACAACTGAATAAAGGAGTGCTTGAATAATACGTGTCTCAAACATTCACACTGGAAAACTTCTGTTTTTAAGATGGAAGCATTGGATGCATGGTCTAGTCTTTTTCTGGAAACACTTTAGCCCCAATAGCAACTGCTCATCCTTTGCAAGAAGTGCCAGGTGGCTACCACCTGTAGGAAATATATGCATCCATGGGAAAACACTAGATTGCCAATGAACCGAGGGAGTTGGGAAGGCAAGCCCAGCACAAATAGTAGAAGTGATTAGTGGTGACATTTCAATCATAACCCTCATAAACCACAAAGTGACAGATGCCATAAAGGCAGTGATCAGGGAGTAAATCCCAGCCCAAGAATTGGGGAGCCAGCTTGGTCAGCCAGGCATGGAATAAGGAGGCAGTCCCAGCTGGAAGCAGTGTTGGGCCCAGCTCCGAAAGCCTAGAGGATAGAGCATGCCCATATGACTGGCCCAGGTATCTCTACCAAAGGGAAAGCCCAAAGGTGACATGGGGTCCCATAAAAAGTGTAGTACATTATTAATTTAGCAAATCGCCCACTCCATGTAATAAGGCTTATGGACTATTATAGATGCGAATGTTTTGTAGTCCAGTAATACTATTTGGATACTATGATCTAAGATAGAGTAAGGCACTTATATGACATTGTGTGCCCATATATATGTATATGCATATATATGCATATATCACATATATGTATATACCTGAATCATCAGGTAGATTTATAAACAAAATTTACAAGCAAAACATATTTACTTAGCCAGCCACTTTTGATGGACTGGTTGGATAAACTATGCCTCCTTCATATGAGGGAATATATGTAGCCATTGAAAATAATTAAGTTGAATTTATATACAAGTATAAATTTGTATGCTAATATAAAACAGCCTTACTTTGCAATCTGTAGATTACACTGAATCTATAGATTGATTTTGGGAGAAATAGCATCTTAACAATATTTAATCTTTAATCCTTGAATTTGGTATATCTTTCCATTACTTAAGTCTTTAATTTCAAATTTTTAATTTATACTTTTCAGCAAACAGGTCATGCATAAATTTTGTTAAATTTATCCCTAAGTATTTCATGATTTTGATGTTACTGTCAGAGGTATTTTTTAATTTCAATTTCCAATTGTTTGTTTCTAGACTATAGAAATACAATTGACTTTTTATATTGATCTTGAATAAATGTAACATTGCTAAACTCATTAGAGCTAGTAGCTTTTTTTGTAGATTCCTTAGCATGTTCTATTTATACAAACATGTCATCTGTGAATAAAGAGAGTTTTACTTATTTCTTTACAATCTTCATGCCTTTTATTTCTTTTTCTTGCCTTATTACACTGGTTGGTACCTCCAATGCAATGTTGAATAGAAGTCATGAAAGTGAACGTCCTTGTCTTGTTTCCCATCTGGAGAGAAAGCACTTAATCTTTCACTGCAAAGTGGGATGTTAGCTGTAGGGGTTTTTTTTGTTTGTTTAAATAAATGTCCTTTATTAGGTTGAGAAAATTCCTTCTGTTCCTAATTTACTGAGAATTTTTCTCACAAATAAGTGTTGGATTTTGTCAAATGCTTTTCCTTCATCTATTGAAATGATCTAATGGTGTCCTCTTAGCCTGTTGATACAGTTTGCAGTAGTAGTTACTTTCATGTTAAACTAGCCTTGCATTCCTAGGATAAAACCTCCTTGGTTGTGGTATATTATCCTTTTTATATATTGCTGGATTTAATTTGCTGAAATTTTCTCAAGGAATTTTGTGTCTGTGTTGGTAAGGGATGTTGACCTGTTGTTTTCTTTACTTGTAGTGTCTTTGTCTTGTTTTGATATCAGGGCAATGCTGATCTTATAAAATGATTGGGAAGTATCCCTGCCTCCTGTTTTCTGAAAGCATTTATGTAAAGTTGATACTGTGTCTTACTTAAATGTTTGGTAGATTTCACCATTGAAAACATTTGAGCCTGGAGTTTTCTTCATGGGAAAAGTTTTTAATTATGAATTCCATTTCTTTACTAGTTATATGGCATTCATATTTTCTATTTCTTCTTGCTTCGATGTTGATAATTTGTCATCAAGGAATTTGCCAATTCACTCATAATATTCCCATATTATTCTTTTAATGTCTGGAGGAGCTGTAGTGGTATCCCCTTTCATTCCTAGAATTGCTCATTTCTGTCTTTTCCTTGATCATTTTAGTTTGTGGTTTATCAGTTTTATTGACCTGTAGTTTTGGGTTTTTTTCCTTCAAAAAACCAGCTCTTAGTTTCATTAACTTTATTTTTCTCTTTTCTATTTCATCATTTCTGGTCATATCTTTGTTATATCCTTTCTTCTCCCTTGCATTGATTTTTAGGGTTTTTTTTTTCTAGTTTCTTATGATAGAAACTTAGTTCATTGATTGTTAAGCATTTCTACTTTTCTAATATAACCATTTTATGTTATAAATTTCCACCTCAGCACTGTTTTAGCTGCATCCAACAAATTTTGACACATTGTTTTCATTTTTATTCAGTTCAAAATATTTCTAATTTTCTTATTTGACTGATGAGGTTATTTAGAAGTGTGGATTTTAAAAAATTAAGCTCCAAACATTTGAGGACTTTCTAGACATTTTTCTATTTATATTAATTTAAATTTAATTTTGTTGTGCTCAGGTAACATACTTTGCATGATTTCAGTACTTTTGTATTTATTGAAATTTGTTTTATGAGCCAGTGTATGATCTATTTTGGTGGCTGTTTCCTGTGCAGTTTGCAAAGGATGTGTATTTTGCTGTTATTGGGTAACATTTTCTATCATGAATTAGCTCAGGTTGGATAAGAGTATTGTTTATGTCTTCTATATCCCTGATTTTCTGTCTGCTTGTTCTGTCAACTACTGAGAGTTGAAATCTCCAGGGTTTTGGATTTGTCTATTTTTCCTTTCAGTTGTGTCAGTTTGGCTTCATGTATTTTGGAAGCTTTGTTATTAGATGTGTACAGATTTAGGGTTATTATATGTTCTTGATGAATTGACCCCTTTATTATCATGAAATATCCCTCTTTATCTCTGGTAATATTCCTTGTTTTGAAGTCTACTTTGCTTGATTTTAATATTCTCACACCTGTTTCCATTTATTTATTTATTTATTTATTTATTTATTTATTTATTTATTTATTTTTAAAGAATTTATTGGGGAATTGGATGAGGGGAACAGACAAGTTGCTGTCGTTTTGTTCTTCAGTCTAGTTGTGGAGGACGTTGCTTCACAGGCCCGTGTTGGTATTATCATTGCGCTCCTCCCGGATGAGGCAGATTGGTCACTGGCCTCTGGACGGCCGCTCACGGCAGCTCTTGGCAGCTCACCCCGGCTGCCAGCCACTCATGCTGGCTGCCAGCCACACACGGTAGCTTATGGCAGCCCATTGCAGCAGGGGCTGCAGCCTACGCCGTCGCCGGTGACTCATGGCAGCCCAGCTCCAGGTGGAGCTGCTGTTCACCATCTTAGCTGCAGAAGGCAGTGTCACTGGCCCTCACGTGGAATCCGAACTGGGGCCCTGCTGTTCAGAGGTGGCATCCCAAGCCAGCTCTTAACCAACGCGCCACTCGGCCGGCCCACACCTGTTTCCTTTTGATTACTTTTTTGTGGCATATTTTTTTCTGTTCTTTTACTTTTAACCTATTTGTATCTTCATATTTAATTTGTATTTCGTATAGACAGCATATGGTTGGGTCATGATTTTTTATCCAGTTTGACAATCTCTGCCATTTTGTTGGGGTACCTAGACAACTTATATTTAAATAAATTATTTATATTTTTAGGTTTAAATCCATCTTCCTATTTGGTTTCTTCTTGTCCCATCTGTTCTTTGTTCCTTTCTATTTTCCTGCCTTGCTTTGAATTAAATAAATATTTTTTTTAGGATTTCATTTATCTCCGTTATTTGCTTGTTAGCTATAACTCTTTGTTATGGGTTTTGTGTGTGTGTGTGTGTGTGTGTGTGTGTGTGTGGTTGCTCTGGGGTTTACAGTATGCATTTTTAACTTATCATAGTCTATCTTCAAATAGTATTACATTACTTCGTGTATAATATGACATGAATGACATATTCTTCCACTTATGACAATATTCTTCCACTTTTCCTTTTTTCTTTTTTTTTTAAGATTTTTTTTTATTGGGGAATTGGGGGGATGGGAACAGTGCTGGGGGATTGGGGAAGGGGAACAGACAAGTTGCTGTCGTTTTGTTCTTCAATCTAGTTGTGGAGGACGTTGCTTCACTTGCCCAAGTTGGCACCATCACTGTGCTCTTCCAGGGCGAGGCAGATCAGTCGCCGGCTTCTGGACGGCCGCTCACTGCGGCTGCTGGCCGCTCACGCTGGCTGCTGGCTACACACGGTAGCCCATGGCAACCCACTGCCACAGGGACTGCAGCCCACGCCGTCGCCAGCGACTCACGGCAGCCCAGCTCCAGGTTGAGCTGTTGTTCAGCATCTTAGCTGTGGAGGGCAGTGTTCACTGGCCCTCATATGTGGGATCCGAACAGGGGCCCTCTGGCATCCCAAGTGAGTTCTTAACCATCGCGCCACTCGGCCGGCCCTCCTTTTTTCTTTCTTTGTGCTATGGTACTAATATATTTTACTTTTGCATATGATACTGTCTTACTTTAAGCTGTCAATTCTACTTTGGTAATTTTAAAAATATTTATTGATTTATTAAAAATAAGAATAAGTCCAGCACATGTTAGCACAAATAACATGTTGTGATAAAGAATAACTATTTTTCAAGACAAAAAGAAATTTCATGAAAAGAATGGCATTGCTATACATTTGTGCACATCTGTAACATCTGGCATAATAGATGACAGTTGACTTCTCATACATGCTTCTACATTCCATATGTTCTGATGCTATTTTTGTTAAGGTATATGAAGAAAATTCAGCCTCACATAGATATGTAGTTGGAAAAGGGAGAAGTATTTTAATAACCTTTGCTGATAATTATTCTTCTTTGATACTACACAAAAACTCTACAAATGGTAGTTTCTTAAAGGTTAATGCTGGTGGAATCTGAAACCATATCAATGAACTTTCTATATACTGTTACATTAAAATTCAGTCATCTTGTACTTTGAATAGATATTTGACCCATCTTATACATACTGATTATTTGGAAAATATTGGTTCACTGAGTTATGCGAATATTACAAATGTCGAAACATTTTATGTTGAAACATTTTATGCAATGTCAAAAAAATCACATTACTTGTATCACCATTGATCTCATTGGGGTAAAGCTTAAGTTTTAGGAAGCTGTCAAGCTTACAGTGGCAGAATGACATTTTTCAAAATTCTGATTTTCACTCAGAAATGTGAATATTATAATTGGCAACAAATTATGTCAGTTGTTTACCCTAAAGTGATAGGCTTACTTTATTTTTGAGAAAATATCTGCCAAATACCTAAGTATTTAGTCATGGTTTTCCCATCAGTTGTTCTTTCAAGCAAAAATGGTATTCCATGAAAAGTGGCTAGTTAAGCCACATCTTAATTACACGTGTGTTTTTCCTTCAGCTCACCATCATAGTACAGTTTGTAACAGAAGCACCTTCTGCATACCTCCTATTTTGTCACACAACATTAAATCCAGGATCATGATTTAATCATTTTTAGTGCTTCACCAAGGACATTCCTAAGTAAAATTGGATTTTTGTTTTTTTACTGTGAGTACATGAAAGTAAAAAATAAAATATCTGCCAGTATACTTTGCTGCTACTGCCTTAATCTGTACCGTGGTGCCAGCAGCTCACCCGCCAGTGCTTTTGCACTTCCATGCAAATATAAACAAAGTTGTTCCAGGATAAAACATGAGATTTAAACAACTTATTCAGCACTTTCCATAGTTTAGTACTACTTGTATTTGTTGCCAACCATTCACATAAAACAGATCTTCAAAAATTAGTTAGTGCTGATATCACATGACCACAAGCACAATAGCCAGTCTGGCCATGTTTGGAGACTTGTCTGTTTGTGAAGTGAAAGTACTATTTTGCAAATGAAATAACAACTAGGTCTTCATGTTTAGAGCTAAATTTTAAATAAACAAGTTACTGCGCCATTGAAAAGAGGCAATACTGTGAGTTATTTTACTAACGTTTCATCCAGTAGGCATTGAGCAATGTCCACTATCCATGAGTCAGAGCCCTCACTGATATTTCAGTTTTATCTTTTTCAGCTTCTTTAAACAGATGTTTCAGCTCTGGTTTGAGAAAGCAAGATTTCTAATCTCCCTTTATTAAGTCAACAATCCATTGTTGTTATGTT